TGTAGTATCAGGCTGCAACATAACAAAATTGAAAAAAGTGAAGGGGGTCTGAATACTTTTCAAATGCACTGTACATATGCCAATGGGCATCCCTATAAATGAGAGCACAAAAATTATTTGCCTAAAAAAAAGTAACTCACTTTTTCCATAACTAGCATAGCGACATGCCTTGCTTATTTATCAGCCACCACCCCAATCCTTCTAATAAGTGTACTGGCAAAGGAGTAAAAGAATCCATTCATCCCCTGTGCTTTTGCAGTAATAATACTAGAAGCAGCCGGAACTCAAGGCTACCAATGAATTGGGGTGAAAGCAATGGCTTCCTCAATTGCATACTTCCAAAAGTGGTATCTACCATGGGTTTTGTACTCCAGTGGGAGATGGTGCACAAGCCCTCTATGAGTACCAGGTTAGGAAAAGAGACTCAGCTGCTTGGCTGCCCAAGATGTGGCTGACTCTCATCTCCCAGCATTTCCCCATTGTTGACAATGCTGGTTGGGTTGCTGGGAGTTGTGCCTCAGCCACACCTGGAGGGTCACGTGTTGTGCAACCACGTTCTATTGTGTTGTTCCACTATTTGCTCTATAAGGGCAGGTGGAGCCCATCTCTTCCCACTATTCAAGGAGGCGCCAGCTCTCTACTGCAAGATTCTCCCTGAAACGTATCCACGCCCTTTCTAATAGGACAACATCTCTATCCACATTGGGTTACACCCCAGGTTTCTGCTCCCCGGAAGAAGCACAAGAAATCCGTCTGTCCTTACTTGCTCCAGGCGGGTGCGCTTCTCTCCCCCTTTCCTGTGTATGGATTAACCCCAGCAACTCCGTAATTTATATATCAATAAAGAGTCTCCGAAAGTCTTTTACGTGGAATTGCGAGGCCCACCTACACCGCTGCCCATCTTTACCTGCTCGCCGGCGGCAGCAGCCCTCCCAGGTCGTGCCACTGCGCGCGCACCGCCCCGCTCTCACCTGCACGCGCCCCCTACGCAAGCCACGCCCCTTTCCCCGGGCGGCGGATGCGCGCCTATCCTGCCGTCCCGTCCACGAGTCTTCCTAATTCGCGAGAGGGCTGCGGAGTGACGTACGTCGGGCCGCTTGCGAATTACCTTGCTTGTACTTCAGGCGCGTGCTGGGAAGCCGGAACCTGATTGGTTTCGGCTTGCGGGGACAGGGAGTTAATACGTAAAGGGTCCCGCCTCCTTTATTGTCGACAGATGACGGGCGCTTCTCGGGTGGGCGGCGACCGGTCCCTGCAGGAAGCTGGAGGGCAAGAGTCGTCTGTCCGGGGTGCTGTAGATATTTGGTTAATAAATATATGAATAGAAGTCTAGGGCGGTAGGATCAGTTGAGTTTCCCGATGCTGCAGAGTTGTCCAGGAAAAATTCTCATTCAGTTTGGAGGTCTTCAGGTGCACTGTTTTTTTTAGCTCGATCTTGTTTATGGCTGCTTGGAAAATAGTTAATTCAGTGCTCCCAGATCAGGATAGGATTGCAGCTGAGCAGCACGAGAAGCTGAAGAGACGGAGGAGGGATCCGGATTGTAATATGTTTGTTTAAGCCCCTTATATTCCTTTTTAAAGATATTCTTCAACCTGGTTAATAGAATGTTTCATAGCCTGCAACCAATGCAAAACACAGCATTCTTTCTATAGGCTTTTGCAAATATGCTTTCATTTAAAACACGAATTACATCAGGCAAGTGTGTGTGTGTGGCGGGGGGGCGGTGTCTCTGGTCCTTGTGATTTTAAATCCTTTAGATAAACTAAATTAATTCAACACTGAATGCTGCAACATCTCTTACAGTGCTGACAATCTGGGGCTTTTAACCAAAAAGATGCTTTTTGGCATCTTGAAAGTGTTTATTTTAAAAATGCTGATTTTCCGACATTCCATCAATTTAGCTAGGTTTTCCGCCTATAAACTGTTCCAGATTTCCTGACACTATTGGACTACATTTCCCAGCATTACCGGTGAACCTGGGACGTAGCTCCCATGTGATTTTTCATTCGGAAGAAGTTTTATTGGACCAATGATCCCATTCCTTTCCCTTCTCCACCCCTTTGGGCTTGGCAGCAATTGTAAGATGTTACTGGAGAAGAAAGGGTAAAACCTGCACAGGCAAGACAAAGGAACTAGGATACTGTTTTTGTTCATTTTCCCCACTTTCCTTTCTCACAAATTATCCGGAGCAAAACCAGACATTCACTTCTAGATTTTTAAAGAGGTTGGAATGATTGGATAGGAATTTTTTAAAGAACGATTGGAATGACTGGAGCGTGCATTTAAGAAAGCATCAGGAAATGATGTGTGACTGACCAAATACTTTGACTGCGCTTGAAGGAACCGCACTGTACATACGTCTGCTCAATTTTCCCTAACGGGGCAATACTTTCGGCTCCCCCCTCCTCTGCCTGGCATTTGGTTTGATTTGCTTTTTTAAAGGAAATCCTGTAAATGTTTAGCATCTGGTGGACTTGCTTTTTGCCTCTGGGGACAATTGTTCTAGTATGTGAATCACTTGATGGAACCCAACTAAGTCCTGAAAGAAGTTTACTATGGGGACCTGGACTGAGTGCAGAAGTTGTTCTTCCTGCTCGGTATTTTTATATCCAGGCTGTGGACACTGAAGGGAAGAGGTAAGCACAGCTGCTTCTCTAGATAACAGCTTTTTAAATCATGGGGAGATATGGGAAAGAGTCTGTAAAACAATTCATGGCTTGTATAATTCCATATGGACCTGCAAGTGACGCAGTGATAGGTTTTTTTTTTTTTTTTTTTTTGGTAGCTTAACAATTGTATATCTGTTTACTTCACTCCAGCTTCTGTGCTCATATACTTACCTAAACTCATATAAGTCTGTAAAACAATTCATGGCTTGTATAATTCCATATGGGCCTGCAAGGTGCGCAGTGATTGGTTTTTTTTTTTTTTTTTTGGTAGCTTAACAATTGTATATCTGTTTACTTCACTCCAGCTTCTGTGCTCATATACTTACCTAAACTCATATAATACCTAAAATGCAAGGAATGAGATGGTCCTGATATGTGTCCTAATTTAGGATGTGGAAATCATGGAATCAATAGTAAGTTGCTTTTCCTTTATTGCACTTGCAATAAGCTTGCAAAGTAGTGAGCTAAAAGGATCAATAATGCAAATACTTTAAATATATAATCCCTTAACTGAATGGCTATAATTTTCTCTTTAGCATATATCCCTGCATGGAAGCCCAGTTCCATAAGTGAATTGCTATATCTTCATCAGACTGCATAATTTTGCATATACGTGTGTGTGCATGCACGCTTCCATTAAAACTACAGAATCTCATTTGTTGTGTTTTCTTTATTTGGTAGCTTTGCAGCTTCACAGATCTATGTTAAATGTCTGGATGCCTTCAGCATCCCAAAAACTTTGAGAAAATATTTGCAATTCTTATCCTTTCTGGTCTCAGTCCTAAGCACAGACAATTTAAGTAACCCTTAGCTGCTTAACTGATTGAAACATTGTTGTCTTTATCATTTAAAAGTTGTAAATGATGGGTATATAATCTTATACAATCTGCTGTGTTTCCAGAGCATCCCAACTTTATATGTGGCTTGAATACTGGTGCTTTTTTAACAGATACAGAAAGAGAATTTTTGTATAAAATTATGGGTGAGAAACATTTTTGAGGGTAGAGAACAATAACTGCATGGCAGAAATAATGCAGTTTAGCACCATAGTTCATGATGGAACTCTTCTACATTCTCCCCGATCTTTAAAAGGAGGTGCAACTTCTGAAATAGGCTTCCTGAAGTTGTGAGTGGCACTGGGGCTTTAAAGGAGGATTAGACAAGTTGATGAAAGAAAAGGCCTACACATGATCATGATGGTGGTAGGCATCCATTAGGTTTCAAAGTCCGCGTGTTTCTCAGTAGAAGTGCTTGGAAACAACTGGCAGCTTTTGGGATATCAAGATAGACAGGATTCTGGGTTTTCCCTTGAAACAACAAAATGTTCAACCCATTAAACCAGGCAAATTCATGAAGTCTAGCATGAAACCATGCGGTTGCACCCAATCATTAGGGATCCTGTTCCACACGTAACTTAAATAGCTATTTGGATTTATGTGTAACGTTTTGTGTCATAGTGACATTATTCACTAGGCCAATGAGTATGAAATGAAATTCTATTTTATATATGAAGGAAGGCATCTTATGTTATCCTCAAAAATCTATTCAATGTTGATCTATTTTCAGTTGTACTATTCAGGCCTGGATCCAGCAGGGAAAATAATTTTAGACTATGGATTTAATCTCCTTATAGAGGCTTTAGATCTGTGTTTCTCCACCTGGGCACCTACTGATGTGTGGATTTCAGAACTTAGACTTGCCTGGAACTTAGAATGGCCATTTCTGAAAATTCTAGCAGTTGAGATTCACATATCTGGAAGTTGCTGTGTTTGGGAAATAGTGGTGTCTCTCTGCTCGTTCTGCAATATAAGGCTCTTGTTTTCTGTGTCAGAAATGTAGCCCCAGGGTATCACTTCCTGAATTGGGTTCTGGGGAAATGGAATGTCTAAGAAAAATTTTAAAAGATTATCAGGAAGTTCAGCAAGAAAGATAGCTGAAAGTCAGATTGCTAATTTACTAGTCTTTTCTTGCAATGTGCAACTTAAGTGGAACATAGTTTGGCTTCAGAGAGCCTGTAGTCTCCATTAACATGGGATATCAGTGACACTCAGGTGGTCTTGGTATGCAGGAATAGCTTGAGAAAAAGTTAATATGGAAGGGAGTTCCTTGAAAGTTAAAAAAAAAAACACTAAATAGTTTTATAGATAGTATGATGCATTTTAATATGGTAGATTAGCCTTCTCCAGCCTGGCACCTTCTAGATGGTTAAGACTACAACTCCCACCATTTCTAGCTAGCATGGAAGTTGCCTGAATAGAAAAGGATGTATCAGGCTCATTCTTTTGGTAAGAATTCTTAAATCTTTCCATGTGTGGAATTGTAACCTGCAAAAAACTAGTTTGATTTAATAATTGTTTTTATCTCTTGAATAGATTTACCACCTCCCCTGGAGAAAAAGCATTTCAGGTGAAGATCACGGCACCTGAGGAGCAATTTACACGAGTGGGAGTGCAAATATTGGACAGGAAAGATGGTTCCTTCATCGTGCGATACAGAATGTATGCAAGCTACAAGAACCTGAGGATTGAGGTTTGGGCAAAAAACAAATATGTTGCCAAATCTCCATATAATTTAAAAGGTACAGAAACAGTGTCAAGGATCATACTAGCTTGAAACCAAATTATTTTTAAAAATGTAACCTTCAGTGAAGGACACACAAATGTTCTGCAATTTGGCGACAGTTTGACTTGTTTGGAATCATATTTTTATCTCATCAGAATGAGAAAATCCCAGATGCTTTTAATCTTCCCTTTCCCCACCAATGTGTATCCCAAAGGAGGATAAGAATGAATCTAAATTACATCTAGATTACATCTTGACAGGTATTGAAAATGCAGGAGTATTAATTTTTATGAATAAGCAAAAGAAAGCAGAATTCTGGAAGGGAATACTATGCCATTATTGCAATAATGCTTCCCCTTTGACCTAGGAGCTGATGAGGGAATGTGACAAAAATTTAGAACTTTCTCAGAGCGCTTCCACGTAGCCACCAGGTTTGCCTTTCTCACCCTCTGCTGTATCTTTGCACCACTGGATGAGTGTCTCATGGTTGATTGGATGGTCTTTAGTGAATGAGAAGAGGGGAGGAAGGAAAGACCATCTGGCCAATGGAAGCAAAGGAAAGCTGTTTTCTCAGCTAACCTCCCATTCCTGTCCTCATTTTCTCACTGTGCTTTTTCAGCAGGGGGAAAAAATGATTGGTCAAGGGAAGGAGCAAAGTAGCCCCTCCAACCACATTTGAAGAATGTGGATGGGGGAAGAAGCCAAGAAGTCATGGTGCCTTGATTTAAGGTGGGAAGGGGAAGTCCAAGAATGTGGTTGTGGGAAATGAGGTGGGAAGGCACTCTGTAGGCCCAGGAAAAAAAAGACACAGTATAAAATTGCCTGAGCAGCTTTTCATGAGAGATAAGAGGTGAGTCCACAGTTAACCATTTTATTTTTCCAAGCTGCTCAGAAGCCTTGAATAGAATCCAGGAGGGTGGCACTGATCTTAAATCTGGGGGGGAACTGTGCTGGTATCTGTGCCATCAAAGTTTAGAAGCACAATGTTCTAAACATTGTCATCTGCTCTCTTGAATAGTGCTGAGAACTGTTGCCATTTGCTTAAAAGTTAAGCCAGAGGATTTTTACACATTCTCAAACAGACTATTAGAATTCTGCCTCCTTAAATAATACAGTAAACCAATAGTTTCCAACCTCTTCCTGTTGGAGGACCTCTTTTTATTATCACAAGTGGTCAGCAATGGGGCAGTTGTGGACATCTTGCCCCCAAAGTATTTCAATCTAGAAATAAAATAATATGGCCCAAAATCTTGCAAGACAGCCAAATTTCAGAGATTTCAGAGTTTCCACCTGAAATGTTATGAGCTTGGGGCAAGAATGTCAAAATCTTGTTAGATTTGGTGATCTCCTGAAATTTTGGCCACTTATTCTTTCAATGCCTCTTCCAAGGATCACCTGCACTGCCCTCGTGGACCACGAGTTTGGAACTTTTTGCAGTACTTTATGAAAAATCTAGGCAAATAATTGAAATAAAGTGAATAAAATAATAATAATGGCAATATAAGCTATAGTAATGTCTGAGATCATTGGCTAGCTTCCAGAAGTGTTGACAAATTCCTAGCTTTATATTTTTTACATTTACATTTGAAGAGCTATAACAGGTTATATTTTAAGGCACTTGGCAAGATGTTTAACGATCACTGCTTGCAATGAAAGAAGAATAATTCTATAAATAAATAGGTAGATGTTTATCTTTTTGTCTCATTTCAGGGCAAAAAGTCTAAAAATGAAATTAATTTGGATGAATATTACTTTATAGCTGTTGATGTATTTCATCTAGAAATTTTTCAGCCAAGGGGAAAATGTTGCAACTTAGACATTGGCAGTGCTTAAGACAAAGTTAGATTAAGCCCAGATGGGGAGGCTAAATGAAAACTGTATCTGTGCCTTTGCTTGAACAACAATATAATATAAAGTTATTTTGTGCCTTTGCTTGAACAACAATATAATATAAAGTTATTTTGCTTTATCACAGAAGTCCCAAATCCATTCAGAAAGGAGAATCATTCTGAAGTTAGCCCAGACAAAATGCATAACATAACTTTAAAGCAACTGTATTGTGTACAGGACCTGTTTATCATGAAAACTGTGGCTGCCCTGAGGAAGATGGGAGTGCTTGGCTGGAAAAGATGAACTGTCCTCAAGCTATTCTGCAGATTCAGAAAGATCTGGCGCATTTTCCCACCATTGATCCAGATAAAATTGCCAAAGAAATTCCACAACGGTTTGGGCAGAGGCAAAGTTTGTGCCATTACACCGTAAAAGACAACAAGGTACACCCTGTGCTGTGGTAGCATAAATGATAATGGCTGTCTTACAAGTAAATGTCTGGAGATAAGAAGCCCAGAGAAGGACGGAGAGTAGTTTCTCTGGGTTCAAGGAAGCTGGAAGATGTCAGATGGTACCTTTACACAGGTACCTGGCAGCCAAGTAGGCAATGGAAAAAAGTAGGACTACAGAGAGAGAGAGAGAGTAGTAAATCTCAGTGGTAACATTTCTCTTCTAGCTTTAGTAGCAAAACTACTGAAGTTTTATCTGAAAGCAAAGAGAGCATAAGAACCCAGAAACCTCTAAGGCAGGGCTGCTTTGCTGGCTCAGGTAGCTATGCTGTACCTGCCTCCATCAGGTATGGCATCAGAAGTTAGCAGGATGCTGTCTGGGTGCTCCTGTTTTTAGCAGTGATCCTTCTCTTCCAGCTGGTCCAAAGCAATAGGATGCAAAGTTAATTACCTCTGTACATAGAGGTTTTGTAGTTAAATAGTTACTCCTGTGCTCTCTACCATCAATTTTTACAACACTTAGTCATTGGATATAGTGGCCATCACTACAGCTTGTGACAATAAATACCAAGCAATTATGGAATGCGTGAAAAACTCATATATTTGCCATGAACTGAAGAACCTTTCTAAGTAAAAGTTATTATAATAGGAACAGTAGAAGTTACTGAAACCTTCAGGGGAAATTGGACTAGTTTCATTCCTTGATGACCGGATCCTTTTATAGCTTATATTGACAATATTGTTGTGAAGGACAATTTTGTTTTTTTAATTCAAGTTGTTTCTTGTGAATTTCATCTAATGGAATAGATTATTTCATCTAATGGAATATGGAATAGCATGATAGCCTTCCTCCCCCCAGCTAGTGTAGGGGATGGAGAGAACCATACTCCATGCCTACTGTAAAAGGTACCACTTTGGTAAGGATATACAGTAATAGTCATAATGAGTTGCTTAGAAGTTACAGAAAGTGAAGTCAACATATTTCTTTGTTTTTTCGTATAAGAGAATGGAAATGAGCCTAATATTGCTGCCTATTTCTTTGGAAAAGGGAAAAAAAGAAAACCCTAATTCGCTGATTCTTGAATTACTTTAGATTTATATAAAGACTCATGGTGAACATGTCGGCTTCAGAATTTTCATGGATGCTATTCTACTTTCTTTGACTAGAAAAGTGAGTATATGCTTTAACTATGTTATAAATTACAAAATCATTTTATTTTTAGTATACTTCAGTTTATATTTGACTTGATATATCCTCTGCCATGAACATAGTATCCAGAGTTCAGTAAAGGTAAATATAAACAATGAAATTTAAAAGAAACCAAATGAATGGATAGAAAGGGAAAGCTGTAATGCTTTGCATATTTAACTGTGAGGTATTTCCATGCAAGGAAAAGCTACTGACTTTATTTTTCTAGTCAGACACATAGATGTTCTGGTGTGTTGTCCACTCAGATGCTTTTTTCAGCATACTGGATAATGCATCAGTAGAATGTAGTAGTCCTAAATCCCCATGCTGCGCACAGAATATTGAATCCCACATGTGTAAATGATCTAGCCCAGTCTGTATAAATAAGAGAAGCCTGCAGGGTGTGTCCTCAGTATTTCATGAACAAAAATCCAGATGGCTCAGCCAAGCTAAGCTTGTTCATGCTTTTTAGGTAAAATAAAAATCCCCAAAGGACACCACAGCATGAGTAATAGCAGGGTGAGGAATCTATGGCCTTCCAGATGTTACTATATTAAAACTCGCAACATTCCTTCTTCTTGGCTATGTTGACTGCTGGGAGTTGTACTTCAATCTCATCTAAAGTGCCATGGCTCCCATCCAGGTCAAGAAAAGAGTATTTTTATTACCCACATAGAAATGGGAAATGCAGAGGTACGGTTATTCCTGGCTTACATCTGCAGGGATGATGGAATTTCCAATCAGTACAATTGTCGTATACTTCATATATTTGAAATCACCCTTTCTATTTCCCAAGTCTTCCAAGTCCACTTTAAAGTTCCCTGAAGATGTTTTGATAATCTTCAGGTTTATTCTAGCAGCTGGACACTATGAAAATTGACATATTTAGATGGTGGAAAATCTGTGGTTTAATAACCACCAGCCAATCAGTTCCTGCTCTGTCATTCTTGGCCCACCCCTCACATCAGTTCTGAAAAAGATATCCTTTCTCCTCTTACCAGAGGAATAATTTTGCTAGCTCTTCATGGGCCTGCCATGATGAGAAATCCATTGCCATCCAAATTACCAATGTTGGCAATATGGCAATAGGTTCTGTGCTTCTTTATTGAATTAAGGCAGCATGCAGGGAACACAAGAGCTGGAGGTGGGGTGAACTGATTCCCTTTCAGTAGACACGTATTGAAGTGAAACTTGGTATTATTTTGGTGTTTTGAAAGCTTTCCTCTGTCTTCTAGAAAGAAGTGGGAATTTTTGGAACTTTGCACAATGCCAATCCCTGCAGTGATCTCAAAATTGAACTTCCATTTGGAAGTCCTCTCAGGTCAACTAGAGCTGTTCTGGTAGTTTTTATAGTTGTCAGACTGCCATCAAAGACACCCGGGTTCAAATCTCACTCAACCACAAAGCTCATTAGTTAACTTTGGGGTTGCTATCTCTCTACCAGTCTACCTCTCAGGATTTTTAAAAAGATATCCTTGGGTCAGGATAGAAGCTCTGGCTGCTAAACTTGATAAAAAGATGGGATATAATTTTAATTACTAAGTAAATTCCTTGAAATTTAAAAAAGTAGTAATGGTTGAAATTAACTCCTCCCCCCCCCTTTTTTTTGTCTGCTACAAAAGTCCTGTAGTGAATTTAAACTGGACTAGGATTGAATGATAGAATAAGTACATTCTTCTTTTCCCCAAATCCCTTCCATAAATGAATATTTGCCCTTCTTCATAACACTTAGACATGGATTAGAATACATGGCTGAGTTTTTTTCACAGAGGTTGAATAACCCTTTGGGGTTAAGGTCCTAAACCAGTCAACCTCTCCCTTGTCCATTCCTGGTGCACTGGTTCCAATCTGGATCAGACCTCCTTCTACACCCACAACATACAGAGAGATTGTAACAGATTGGATTTCTGTGATTGAATCTCTTGACATTCGTAAAACTCAAATGAATTGTCTATTTAGCTGTTCCTTCAGGGGAAAAATCAGTTTTATTCTATGGCCCATATCTTAGAGGTAGTCCACATGAGTTTTCCTCATCACATATTTGAAATTTTAGCTATCATCTAACAGCTGTAAATTACTATTAAACCAATGATAGGCTTAATGCACCTCTTTTATTTTTTAAAGCAACTCTAAACCCTAAAAGATGAAAAAAGGACCAAAAAATTCTATACTTCTCTTTTACTTCACAAACAGATCACCCATCTCTGCTGTAAGTAAATGTTGGCTGTCGTGTTAGATCACTGATTTTCATATTTTCTATCTTATGAGAGCAGCCCAAACTTATTACTTCTTGCTGCAAAATCTCTATATATTCTGGGTTATGCTAGGGTGTATACCCAGTTCATGTGGGCTGCAACCAAGAGTTTTGGATTTTACCGTGGCTTTGAAAGTATGATACAAGACTGTAGAAACTCAAGATACCACTGTGAATATTTGCAGGTGACAGACTAGCAGCAGAGGCCAAGCTACCAGTTTTTGAGGAACAAATCAGCCATGATTAATCTGGTAATTGAGGAATTCCCGATAAGCTTCTGAGGACCCCTCTTTGAACTGTAGGCCACTTTGAAGGACTTCACAAATTTGAAGTGAAGCATTCCACCTGACTTCAGGAAACCTATTTAAAAACCTTTGAAATGTGGATGTATAGTTGCTGAAAAAATATAATACATATTAGAACTATAGACCAGTAGATGGCATTGTACTCATAAGAAGTTCGGCTTTGAATTAAGTATTTTCTTATTTGTTAAGGAGATAGTAAATAATGCCTTAATATTTTGTATTTTTTCTACATTTATCAGTCTTTACAAAAAAAAAAAAAAACAGTTTAGGAATACAGACTTGGCAAATGCATTGATTTAAGAAAATCACCATTTCCTTTCAGCTATAAAGTTGAGGATAATAATACTGGCCTACACTGTAGTGTTATTCTAAGCATACCAATACAAGAGAACATATGTAACTCAGAGTTGAACATGGAGTCCTTGGTGCTCTCTGAACTCCACGCTTACTTGCACAGATGATGTTACCTAGTTGGGTAATGAAATATTTACAAGCAAACAACCAAGCTCAGAGAGCACCAAGGACTCCGCTATTCTAAGTGTTATTTATTTATTTATTTATTTATTTATT